GGGAGTCTGCTTCTCCCTCTGACCCTCCCCCCTCTCATGTGCTCTCTCTCTCTCTCTCTCATTCTCGCTCTCTCAAATAAATAAATAAATAAAATCTTTTTAAAAAAGTGATTTTTAAAAATTGAAAATAAAAGGATGAAGAAAGATCTTAAAAAAAGCAGAAAAAGGCAAGAAACAGATTCTCCCCTAGGGCATTCACAAGTAAGGCAGGCTGCTGACGTCTTGATTTTAGTCCTATAAGACCCATTTTTCAACTGTTGACCTCTAGAGCTATAAGATGATAAATTCATGTTATTTTCAGCCAGTAAATTTGTGGTAATTTGTTACAGCAGCAATAAAAATCTAATATAGAAAGCAGTCTGCTACAACCTTTATGGAAGGGAATTTGACAATTCCTATCAAAACTACATATGCACTTACTCAGCAATCCTACATCCAAGAATCTATCCTGAAAATACAGCCTCGACAATATGAAAAAACATACATACAAGGTTATTTACTGAAGCACTGGTCCTAATTGTAAAATAGTGCAAATATCCTAAAAGTCCACATGTCAAAGAGTACTTGAATAAATTACCATAACATCCAGATAATGGAGTATTTTGCAGCTGTTAAAAAAATGAGGAAGATCTCCATGACTAATATGGAGTGTATTTATAGTTAAGTGAAAAAAGCAAAATGCAAAGGGCATCTATGGTATGCTATCCTTTATGTAGCATACAAAGAGATACAAGAAACTACATATATGTTGGCTCATCTGTACAAAAGAAACATAAAAAGGACAAACCTGAAAATAAAGAGATTGGTAATCTATAAGAAGTGGGTAAGAAAGGGGTAGGAATAAATTAGGGAACAGAAATAGGATAGCGGGGATGAGGAGACACTAACACATTTCTGAGGATATTTTCCTATAGCTCTGATTCTTAAAAGCATAGTAATGTTTCAGATACAGAAATAAATAAACAGTTAAAACCAACCAAGATGTGGTAGGAACCCAAAATAGAATACAAATAGTAACAAATGAACCTAAAAGAGCTAACCTAGGCAACTTTGGAAAATAGTATTTTGACTGAATCTGTAAGACTAAAGACAAAAAGAACCATATACAAATAATGTAATCTAGTTAGTAAATTTGTTTCTCACAGAGGAATAGCTTGGAAATTCTGAAGCTACTTAATGTGTATACTAATGAGCAAATAAGTAAATACATTGTTCCTCATTGTCAGAAAAAGAAATTATGGATAAGTAAAGGAGAAAGGCTAAAATAAACCCTGTGGAGTAGGACTAGAATCAAGATATCAAAATAAACTGATAATTTTAATATATAAAAAGACAGAGGCAGGGGCGCCTGGGTGGCTCAGTCAGGTTAAGCGTCTGCCTTCGGCTCAGGTCATGATCCCAGGATCCTGGGATCGAGCCCCACATCAGGCTCCCTGCTTGGCAGGGGGCCTGCTCCCTCTCTCCCTCTGCTACTCCCCCCGCTTGTGCTCTCTCGCTCTCTCTGTCAAATAAAATCTTTAAAAAAAAAAAAAAGACAGAGGCAGAAACAAATATAGAAATGTGTATACCTGTGTGTATTGGTATACACACATATATTTTCCAGTTCAATCTGCTGTGAGGGCCTAGGAACAATGACATCCCAGTAGCAATGAGCACACATAGCACCCAGACCTTGGTTTCTAAACATCATTTCCCAATAAAAGGAACCAGAGCTCCTAGGAGAAACAGTTGATTCAAGGCTAGGGCAAGGAAAACAAGATGAACCCAGAATACCAGGAACCAGGAAGAAAAGAAGTGCTCAAAAATGGATGGGGGCATGTTAAAAAGTCAAAGAAACCAACTGGAAGGAGATCCCAATGGGCAAAGCAGAAGAACTTGAGCAAAAAATGATTCATTGGATCTACCTCAGCCAGGAAAAATTAAAATCCATGATTTATAAAAAGATAATTGAATATATAAATAAATAGAGAAGGAACAGCTCTTCTCTATAGGACAATCCTAATTAATATACATAAAGAAAGAAGGGAAATGGAAAAATCAATATTAGGCCAACATCACATTAATAACTGTTGCAGACAAGACCCACTGGGCCAATGGATGCTAAAATTAGTAGGCAAAAGTTTCAGAAGAAACTGAATAGTCTCAAAGTATCTCCCCAAAGATATTTATTAATTACAAACAGAAAAATAATAACTTTACAATGGAGAAATCAGGCAGACACCACCTTTACCAAGGGATCAAAATTATCATCCACAGTAAGATTTATCAGTATTATGACTCCTCTGGTATGTTGCACTGAGAGGAACATAACGTTATTTCCGTGGCACTCTTTCCAAAAATGCATTACTTCCATCTAATCATGACAAAACAGCAGATAAACCCAAATAGGGTGCAAGCAGATGTAATGAGCCATTTATCCAGAGTGAAGCATATCTGAAGACTCTGGGAGAGATTTCTCCAAGACAATAAAATCAACAGATTACCTTAATGTGTCTGAGTGTCTTAAGAGATTTAGACAACTGATAGGAGTTGGGAATTGAGTTAGGAATATGTATATAGAAAACTAAGGAAAAAAACAAATAACCCCCCAAATTATTAACCCCAGGAAAAATAAAAAATCACATAGAAAAAGCAATCTTGGTATATACACAGCATGGCTGTGACTAGCACTCAATAGCCATAATACTGTAAACACTGAACAGTGATTCAATCAAAATTATGATAGGCAGATGGGAAGTGTGTGTGGGTACATGTGCGCACCTACACACACATATTTTATTCAGGGTAAGAAAGTACTAAATTCTTATTTTTTTTTTTTTAAAGATTTTATTTATTTATTTGAGACAGAGAGAATGAGAGACAGAGAGCATGAGAGGGAGGAGGGTCAGAGGGAGAAGCAGACTCCCTGCCGAGCAGGGAGCCCGATGCGGGACTCGATCCCGGGACTCCAGGATCATGACCTGAGCCGAAGGCAGTCGCTTAACCAACTGAGCCACCCAGGCGCCCTAAATTCTTATTTTTTTAAAAAGATATTGGATGAGGACTAAACCTGGAAAAACAATTAAGAAATAGCAACATAAATATATTTGTTAAAGAAATGAAGGAAACATCAAAAAAAAAAAGACTGCAAAAGCAAAGAAAGTCAATCCTTCTAAGGAGAGGGAAATTGAGGAGGAGGACAAGAGACTGCCTTTTTTAAGGGAATAAGCCTTGTAAAACTACCTGATTCTTTAAACAATGTGCATGCATAAGTTTGACAACTTTGATAAAAACAAAAACTCTAAAATTTAATCTGGAAATGTATATATTTCTGACCCTAAAAGGGAAAGAAGAGCTGGGAAGGACTGAGATTCAGGTTATATGCAGAAGAATCACAAGTGTGTAATTTGATAACAATAGGGAGAAACCCACCCCCGCCAAGCCCAGGGCAGCTTCCTCAAGTGCAGGGCAGCCTTCTCATGACCTCTTGGCCTTGGCCTGACACCCTACAACAGCCCTCCTTGCCCAGTTCCCTGTCACTCACCAGCACACTGACCATCTGACATCTCTTTCTCCACCATCCAAGGCTCCTTCCCTTGCTCCAATAAGGAGATCATGTTGGGCTTAGAAATGGAGAGTCCTGTTTACAGGAGAAGAAAAATGAGAGCAAGAAAGAGACAAACAGGGAGACAATCAACTTGCTATAGCCTTTCTAGGACTCAATCTCAATGTCTTGTTCATTAGGCAAGAAAAGAAATTAGAGGAACGGCCAGAGAATGGAATGATGCTTGTATGAAGGATGAAGATGAAGCTTCTTCCATAGCAGTGGTTCTCAAAGTGCTAGAGCAGAAGCACCACCACCTAGGATCTTATGAGAAATGCAAAGTCTTAGGGCTCAACCCAGACCTACTGAATCAGAAACCACAGTGGTTCTCAAACTTTAATAGGCATCAGAATCATTTGGAGGGCTCATTAAAACCCAGACTACTGGGCCTATTTCCTGAGTTTCTGATTCTGTAGGTCTAGAGTGGGACCCCATAATTTGCAATTTAACAAATTCCTACCTCATTCTACAGCAATGGGAACTACTAATTTCTAACTCTTTGAAACTACTTCAAATTATTTCCTGGGAGCAGGAAGTAGAAATTCAGCTAAAGTACTTAAGTAATGACCTAGATATTCCCAATGGAGGAAACAAAAACACCCCAGAGGGAAGATTCTGAATTATGGGGGAGACATCCTTACCAAGCCATACCAAGTTCCTGTAGTTCTCCAACATGACATCTCTGTATAAATCCTTCTGAGACGGGTCCAGCCATTCCCATTCCTCTTGGGAAAAATCTAGAGCCACATCTCTGAAGGTCACCAGACCCTGAAATTAAAAAAAAAAAAAAAAAAAAAAGATCTCGTTTGCCAAGTGCTCCCATATGGTTCTAGCAGAAAAGATGAAATTCTGCCAGAGTTCAAAGCTCTACGTGGTCCAAGGAAAATAACTATTGGGGAGCAAGTACATGCCCAGGTTTGTCAAATATTTTGAGAGAAAGAGAAATATTAGAAATAGACTCACCCCTTGAAAATTTCACATTTTTGTGAATAAAAAAAGACATATATAGGGGAAAAAATTAGCTTATGACATGAAACATGAGTTCATAACATGAAAGTATGTGAGCAAGGCTATTTTATATTACATATACTATGTACCAATAAATTCTCATAGGGATGATTCCATTATACTCCCCAAACTGAGATATCGGATGCGTCAGAGTAGTGAGGGAAGGCCTTGAATTGGGCTTTAACAAAAGGGTATGGTCTGAAACTTAGACTTTATATATAAGGAGAAACTTGCCCAAATGTGTCCTGAAGAAATAATGAAGTATATGTGAAGTGATTTAGATAGAATTTTCACTGGAAGATTATATGAAAAATCTGGAAAAAAACTTTAATGTCAAAAAATAAGTTTAGGGGCACCTGGGTGGCACAATGGGTTGAACATCCAACTCTTGATTTCGGTTCAGGTCATGATCTCAGGGTCATGGGATCGAGCCCCACATAGGGCTCCACACTCAGAGGGGAGTCTGCTACTCTCCCTCTCCTTGCTCATGCTCTCTCTCTTTCTAAAATAAATAAAATAAAATCTTTTTAAAAATAAAGGGGCGCCTGGGTGGTTCAGTCAGTTAAGCGTCTGCCTTCAGCCCAGTTCATGATCCCAGGGTCCTGGAATCGAGCCCCACTCCCTGCTGAGCAGGGAGTCTGCTTTTCCCTCTCCCTCTGCCTGCCGCTCCTGCTTGTGTGCTCTCTCCCTTTCGCTCTCTGTCA